GGATGTGTTACTTTGGTTCATCCGCTATTTATTGCCTTATAGCCGTAGCTGAAATGTGTGTCAAAGCACTCAGGGGTGTTGTATGAAGAACTTTTCTGGAGTTAAATTGGAGTAATCAGCAATAACATTCCAACGGTTTCCATGATGATATGTTTAGAGCAGGAGCTGGCAACTCCAAATGTCGTGGGCTACATCTCCCATAATGCTCTAACAGCCATTAAGTAGGCGAAACATTTTAAGCTTACCCAATTATATAGTTATAACTATGCTCTCTTTAGCATTGAATATCTAATTGGTAGGTGTCTACTTTATCTTTTGGTTACAATCATGGACAGGGCGGGTGCTAACTTTTTGAGCTAAACATTATCCCTCAATTTAATTAGCAGTTAATGAATGTTGTAACCTTATGGGTGTTCTCTTAGGCAATGCACAATAAAGCCTAGATTAGTCTCTCATAAAAGGTTACTTTATACATTTAAAGGGACACTGTAGGCACCCAGACCACTTCAGCTCATTGAAGTGGACAGGCTGCTGTGTCTCTTTTGCACTCAGTGCGGCACTGTAAAACATTGCAGTTCCAGAGAAATTACAATGTTTACATTGCAGCTCTAAGTGGCTGTCTTCCGGAATTGTAACAGACTTTTGGTCCGTTATCTAATGCTGGACGTCCTCATGCTCTGCATGAGGACCTCCAGCGTCAGATTTTTCCCCATAGGAAAGCATTAAATAATAATTAAATAATGCTTTCCTATGGGGAGGTCTATTGCACGCACTGCATTTGCCGTGAATGTGCGTTAGACCCCGCTCATCGTGGGGCGGAGGAGGGGGTGGTGCTGGGTTCAGATAAGTAAATAAAGGGTTTTTAACATTTTTTTTTACTGGGTAGGAGGGGGCGCAAGGGAGGAGGGAGGCAGAGGGATCAGTTGTTCCAGAAATACAACTTTGTATTCCTGGCACTAAAGTATCCTTTTAATATATTCCATCCAAGTAGATCACTTTCTAAATACCAGGACTTACTCCCCCCACTCCCCACCCCAGTGTATATAGGGATATCAGGTGATATTTTGTTTCTCTATATATTACAGATGCATAGGTAAAAAGTATGAAACTTTTTCTTATTAAAAAAAAAAAAATGCACAGGACCAAAGAAATTGTAACTTTTAATCCACAGCAATATCCTGATTGGCATTATGCACTAGAAAATTATTCAGGATAAAGCTGTGAATGCAAATTGTGGCCAAATGTTTAGCAAATGATGCAAAACTGATGGTAGATTTCATGGGTGGCATTAAAATCCAAAACGTTCCGTAACTTCTCTCTCTATATTTTAACTTCTCTCTCTATATTTGAACTTTGCTAACGTACTGCTTAGTATCGGATGAAATCTGCATTTCAGAGCCATTTTGTCGTCAAGAAACAAAGCAGGATTCGTTTTCCTGTGTACAGTAACTCACATCCTTATGAAAGATGGTTCGCCCACTCTTTGCCACCAGAGGAAAAGGCTCTGATTCATATTTGGACGAGCAGCATTATTAGCTGGCTCCATCAGCCATGAATGAAAAAAGGCATTGGCCTGCTTGCGAGGCAGCACAAAAGCTCAAGTCTGACTGACACTGCAAATCTCTCCCACTCCGCTATGAAGGATAAATTAAGTAATTAATAGGTTTATAATGAGGCCCCTATCTAAGACGAACAGAGCGATGTGTTAGGCAGAGATGGAAAGTGGTGGAAATGGGAGAATAAACCTATTTAAAAAAAGGGAAAAAAACTGCCTCTGAATCAAAGCAGGTGCTTAGCTAAGGCTGTGTTCAGAGCTTTGCAATTCAAAATCCCCACATTCTGAGACACATCAAAGCGTGGTAAAGGGCAATACATACATACAAGGGAATCTCAACGAAAGGTATGGATTATTTATTAATCCCTTCATAAAAAAAGAACTATGGTTAAACTAGAAACAGGAACACAAATTGCACCAGTTATACCACATTTTTTTTATTTATTTTTTTGCTGAGCTCAAAAACTGCATCTGTTGGTTTTTTTTTTTTGTACTTTTTTTTTCTGTTATATGGTCTCAGGCCCCTTCTTGTTCCAAATTCCAGATCATTATTCAGACTTTGATTTTTTTAAAAGAAATATGTATTTTATTAGTTTTTTCTTGTTTTCTTTCTTTCTATCCTGGGATGTAATGAGATCACACTAAATCCACAGTTGCGAGGAGTCCCAAATCTGGTGGGACAGTCCTGATTTTAAACTGTTTGCAAAAGAAAGACAAGGAGATGTGTAACTTGTATTACAATAAAAAAATAATGTATTTCATTGGTTAAAATATAAAAAACAAACTATTTATTTGGCCATGTATAATGTCTTGTGTTAATAATTAACTTGCTATTTACATCAATCATTATATTTTCCTAGCGAGCCTCAGTCAAATATTTAACTTATTCATGGAGACATTAAACCCATCATTCTTTTCACTCACTCGTTAATAAATCACTGTTTAGTTTATTATCCCCTTTTATCCAATATACAAAAGGTTAAATCTCATATAAACTTCCTAGATGGCCTGAAATTAATAAATGCATGCTAATCAAACACTATGAACACAGAAATTACTCCCACAATCCAACTTGGTTTCTCAAAGTCAGATCTGGATTACTACCGGGGCTTACACTCAGAACTTCCATCTAAAGGGCAATCAGGTCACTCAGCTGCCCCGTGGGCCCACTGTTCACAACAGTTTGGAGAGGCTCATCAGGTGGTCCATACATTTAGGGCCACCTGATTTGTATCGCTGAACAGGGGCCTGGTCGAGTCACTGGCGGATCCAAAGGGGGCAATCCCTCCCCCCCGAGGTTCTCCCCTGCTGGCTAATGCAGGGCTGGCACTGTCCAAGCCCTGTCCACTCACCTCTTTTCTACTGTGCCCCCACTAACTGCTCCTGCCTTCACCCACTCACTGCTTTTCTACTCTGTGTCCCCACGCACTGCCTCTCTACTATGTGCCCCCATTCACTTACTTTTACTCTGTGCCCCCACTCACTCCTTCTGCCCTACATTGCAGAGCCCCCGCTGTGTGCCCCCCAACCTATGCTTCTGCCATGTGCCTCCCCACTCTCTGCTTTTGCCTTGTATCCTCCCCCAACTCTCTGCTTCAGCCCTGTGCTCCCTCTCACTCTTGTTTCTGCCCTGCTGCAAACATACAAATTATCACATGTATGTGTCTACAGTTGCAAGAAAAAGTATGTGAACCCTTTGGAATGATATGGATTTCTGCACAAATTGGTCATAAAATATGATCTAATTATCTAAGTCACAACAATAGACAATCACAGTCTGCTTAAACTAATAACACACAAAGAATGAAATGTTGCCATGTTTTATTGAACACACCATGTAAACATTCACAGTGCAGGTGGAAAAAGTATGTGAACCCCTTGACTAATGACATCTCCAAGAGCTAATTAGATTGAGATGTCAGCCAACTGGAGTCCAATCAATGAGATGAGATTGGAGGTGTTGGTTACAGCTGCCCTGCCCTATAAAAAACACACACCAGTTCTGTTTTGCTTTTCACAAGAAGCATTTCCTGATGTGACCATCCTGTAAAGATGACTGCAAGAGCACAGCGCAGACTGCTCAATGAGGTGAAGAAGAATCCTAGAGTGTCAGCGAAAGACTTAGAAAAGTCACTGGCAAATGCCAACATCCCTGTTAGCGAATCTACAATACGTAAAACACTAAACAAGAATGGATTTCATGGGAGGATACCACAGAGGAAGCCACTGCTGTCCAAACAAAACATTGCTGCACGTTTACAGTTTGCACAAGAGCACCTGGATGTTCCACAGCAGTACTGGCAAAATATTCTGTGGACAAATGAAACCCAAGTTGAGTTGTTTGGAAGAAACACACAACACTATTTGTGGCGAAAAAAAGACACAGCACACCAACATCAAAACCTCATCCCAACTGTGAAGTATGGTGGTGGGGGCATCATGGTTTGGGGCTGCTTTGCTGCGTCAGGGCCTGGACGGATTGCTATCATCTAAGGAAAAATGAATTCCCAAGTTTATCAAGACATTTTGCAGGAGAACTTAATGCCATCTGTCTACCAGCTGAAGCTCAACAGAAGATGGGTGTTGCAACAGGATAATGACCCAAAACACAGAAGTAAATCAACAACAGAATGGCTTAAACAGAAGAAAATACGCCTTCTGAAGTGGCCCAGTCAGAGTCCTGACCTCAACCTGATTGAGATGCTGTGACATGACCTCAAGAAAGCGATTCACACCAGACATCCCAAGAATATTGCTGAACTGAAACAGTTCTGTAAAGAGGAATGGTCAAGAATTACTCCTGACCGTTGTGCACGTCTGATTTGCAACTACAGGAAACGTTTGGTTGAAGTTATTGCTGCCAAAGGAGGTTCAACCAGTTATTAAATCCAAGGGTTCACATACTTTTTCCACCTGCACTGTGAATGTTTACATGGTGTGTTCAATAAAAACATGGCAACATTTCATTCTTTGTGTGTTATTAGTTTAAGCAGACTGTGATTGTCTATTGTTGTGACTTAGATGATGATCAGATCACATTTTATGACCAATTTGTGCAGAAATCCATATCATTCCAAAGGGTTCACATACTTTTTCTTGCAACTGTATGTATGTCAGATTGTGTGTGCCAGAGTGTGTAACTGTGTGCAGCAGTGTATTTACCGCGAGTGTGACAAGGCATTTGCCTTGCGTGGCACTTTCAGCTCAGGGCCTTCCCCTCTGAAGGCTGGCATGTGCTGATGTTGCAGGGCGCGGGAGGGAGCACTATCCCCCAAACTCCCCCCTGTCCAGCTCCCTCGCGTGCACCGCAGGGATGCCAGAGCCGGAATATGATGTCACTTCGGCATCACTAAGAGGCGCGTGAGGGAGCTAAACAGAGAGATATCGTCACTTTTAGGAGGGATTCTGCCTTAGCGGCGTTCAGTTATAATCCCACAGATGGTAGCTTCACCCCATTGGCTCCTCAGCCAAGCACATACATCAAATGTCTATACCTGCGGTTCCTCTCGTACTGAGCAGGATTACTATTATGACAACACAATCTTCAGTAGGGTAAAACTAACCTGTCTCGCGACGGACTAAACCAAGCTCACGTTCCCTATTAGTGGGTGAACAATCCAACGCTTGGTGGATTCTGCTTCACAATGATAGGAAGAGCCGACATCGAAGGATCAAAATGGCCGGAAGGGCGCGTCGCCTCGGCCGGCATCTAGCAGCTGACTTTTAACTGGTGTGGACCAGGGTAATCCGACTGTTTAATTAAAACAAAGCATCGCGAAGGCCCTAGGCAGGTGTTGATGCAATGGGATTTCTGCCCAGTACTCTGAATGTCAAAGTGAAGAAATTCAATGAAGGACGGGTAAATGGCGGGAGTAACTATGATTCTCCTAAGGTAGCCAAATGCCTCGATAAAAAAAAAAGTTACAAATTGTGAGTGTGTTAGTGTGAGTATGTTAGTATGTGTCTGTTGGTGAGTGTGTTAGTGTGTGTCTGTTAGTGGGAGTGTTAATGTGGATGTTAGTGTGTCTGTTAGTGAGTGTTAGTATTTGTGTTTGTTAGTGAGAGTGTGTGTGTGTTAGTGAGTGTATGTCTGTCACTGAGAATGTATATGTTTTTGTCAGTGAGTGTGTATGTCAGTGTGTGTGCATCTGTCACTAAGTGTGTGTCTGTCAATGTGTGTATGCGTGCGTCAGTGTGTGTATGCATGTTTCAGCATGTGTATCCGTTTCTGTCACTGAGAGTATGTGTCTGTTAGTCAATGTGCATATATATATGTCAGTGAGTATATGTGTGTCCCAGTGTGTGTCTGACACTGAGTGAGTGTGCCTCTGTCAGTGAGTGTGTATGCATTTCTGTCAGTGAGTGTAACATGTGAGTGAGTGCGTATGTGTGAATGTTTCAGTAAAAGTGTGTGTTGGTTAAACAGTGTGTGTGACAATGACTTTGTAACGGTAAGTGAGTGTATGTCAAGTGCATGCATAAGTGAGGGTCGTATGTCTGTCAGGAAAATACATTTGGAAGGGGGGTCAGGTTTTGTGCTGCCTAGGGCAGCATAAAACCAGAATACACAACTGTCTGTGTGTATGTGTGCAGCAGTGTGTGTATCTGTGTCAGTGTGTGTATCTGAATATGTGTGTGTATCTGTGTCAGTGTGTTTATCTGTGTGTCAAAATATGTGCATGTGTCAGTATGTTTTTATGTGTGTTAATGTGTATGTATCTGTGTATGTGTATACATTGCAGCAATCAAAAACAACATGCAAACACAAACATTACATACAAACACGCCCCTTGATTTTAAACTACAAAATTATATATAAACACACCCCTTCACTCAAACACTAATACAACACACAAATGTTTAGAAGGCAACACTACATCCAATCACAACCCTAAGGGCAAATATTACATACAAACAAAACCCAGTGTTAAAACGCCCAAATTATATGCAAACACCAACTCTACTCACAATTGCACACCTGCATTTAAAAGCCAAGAATACATACAAACACACATCCCTGCATTTAAACCCAAACACTACACTCAAGTACACCACTGCATTCCAATGGTAAGAGTACATACAAATACACCCCTATATGCACACACATATACGCTATACAAAAACATGCTTACATGCACAAACACTGCACACAAACACAACCCTGCAAGAATGGGCAAATGGTAGATCCCCAGCTGGCATAGTATTCTATTGTATGACGGATGAGGATCTATCTTTTCACCACTCTTGCATTAGAGGTTGAGGACCAAACAACTTTATTGCACCAGGGCCCTCTCTACATTAGTTCCGCTTCTGGGTTGGAGTGTAGGGCGTGATTGCATACCAGGGAGTGGGAGGGCGGCAGGGTCCAGGGGGCCCAAACAAATGCTTGCCCACAGTCCAATCAATATTAAAGACGGCCCTGCTGGTAAAGTGGTCTGACTGATCTAACTAGCTGACGTTCCGCAATTTTAGTAATCAATTTGTTGTAAATTATAATGACTGGCCTACTCATCAATAATCTGCAGACCACAGTCTGTGAAGTCCCAAAGTCAATCACCACCTGCCTGTCTCTCTTGGTCATGCAATGTAAATCATTGCAGTTTTAGAGAAACTACAATGATTACATTGCATGACTAATACTGCCTCCAGTGGCTGTCAATCAAACAGCCACTAGAGGCACTTCCTGGTGGCTAGGTGACTTTTGATCGCCTAACTGATGCTGGATGTCCTCATGCTCTGCATGAGGATATCGAGCTCCAGTAAATCCCCCATAGGCTTTGAAGCAAAGCTTTCCTATGTGGAAGGCATGCGCAATTGGTCCCCCTTTCAATGCTGGGGGCGGGGGGAAACTATAGTGTAAGATTTGTATTCCTTACACTATTGAATCTCTTTAACTGTGATTCCTAACTAATGAGAGGCCCAGAATGAAGAAAACAAGTGCAATAACTACATGATTATGTATTGTGTGTGAATAGTAGCTGTAGATCGTGAATGTTAAATAATCCTTCAGTTACAATGCAGTAGCAGATTCTGCTGCAGAAGCTGTGTAAAGCTCCCAAAGGCAGTTGTACCATCATATTGTTCTTTTTTTTTTAATCAGGTAGAGAAGTTTTAAGTAGAAAATACAAATTGAGATTCCACTATACTCTCAACCCTCATCTGGTTTCTCACAGTACTTGAATAAGTCATGTAATTAAATGGACTGTGACAGTATCCTTTCTGTTGAAATGTATTAAAAATACATTGCCAGGTTTAAACTGGAGGAAAAGAGCATATGAAAGATTAACAAAGACGGTGAAGAAGGAGAGAATAGAAAAAGGTTAGAGATCATAGAGAAGGTGTTATTTATGTCAATGGACCAGAGCACATACAGATTCTCATACAGTTCTGGCGCTGGACTTAGTTTGACTAGTGGCAGATATTGCTTGCTGCGGCATGCCTTAATCCCACGGGCCCTAGGCAAGTCACCAGTTTGGGGACCCTCCCTTTGTTTGTCACATAGGGATGGTTAACTGGACCAAGCAAATTCCTGGTCTTGTAGCCCCTGTCTAATCCCTGGTCCCTAGGTTCATCACATGGTTAATCCTGCTCTGTTTATCTCTGATAACCTGTTCAGTTAAAGGATATGCTTTATGCTGGGGTATGAGAAAAGTTGACCTCCAACTGTTCTGGAACTATGACTCCCAAGATGCTTTTCGGACACCGCTGATTTACAGCTTTGAGTTCTCAGTCAGTGAGCTCACAGTCCCCAAGGAGTAAGAATTCCAGGGATGGAGTCATGTTACTGACAGGCTCTGGATTCTAACAAAAAAATAATTTAGCCTTCTATCCCCTCACTTTTTAACTCAGGCCTGCATGTGCTATTTGTGGTGGTTATAGGAAGTTAAAGTGACAGTAACAAGGCATAATGTCCATAGTAAAATAGCTATTATAAAGATACTTGATTCACTTTTTAATATATGAAGGATTTCCTTATCACTGCTTTGAAGCAAAACCAGATTATTCTAAAGCTTTCGGATAATTTACTGAATGAGGTATTGAACCCCGCGCGAACTGCAAATGCCAGGCCAGAATAGCTGAACAGGATTTTTTACTAAAGTAAGACAAGTTTGGAATTCAGACAGAATTTAACATTTAAGGCAAAAGTAGCAGACTTGGAAGCAAGGCTAACTGGGAGAATTTTTCCAGTTCGTCTATGTTGACCTTAAATCTGAAATTCACTCTGATTTCCCAGCAGTTCTCACTTTAGTGAATAACTCTGTTATTAAAATAAAAGTGTAACACTCTATATATCAACATGGAAAACTGTGCCACAGATTGAATAAATCGAACCAATATAGTGCAAAATGTGTATAGATTATTTTCACAACTTACACTTTATATTATCTTTTCATTGAAACCCTGCAACATATAAAAACAACACACATCATATTGCCACAAAAATATTTTATATATGAAAATAGTAGCAAATGCACACACTTCCAGGCCTCTCACCTGTCCTGATTTCAGGCAGACACTCCCTATTTTAGGGTCCTATCCGCCGTTCTGATTTTCTTCCCTAATGTCTCCCATGAGACTGAATTGACCCTTTCCAGACCAGACTGACCATTATAGGCATCACCAATTATGCAATTTCCATCACTGCTGACGCCCCCATGGCCCACCCATCCTTATCGCCAACCTCCCAATGTTGGAGGTATGCTTTTATGAGCCTAGAACTATACTGGCTCTAGTAGGGCAGACCTTCAGTGTACTACAAGGCAGGCGACTAAAGATAAACTAATGATATTACACTATCTGTGCATTAGCAACAAGTCATCACCCTATGTGTTCGAAATGTGCAATTTGTTTCAGTCCGAATGTAAATTCGGCCTAATTTCGGCAATTCGGACATTCGAATGCTGCCGAATTTCGGAAGTGCTGAATTTCGGAAGTGCCGAACCGAACTGAAGTGCCGAACCGCTTTGGATTTCTTAAAAGTGGCAAAACAGAAAAGGGAGGAGAAATGAAGAGAATGATGACAGTAATCTAATCCTACCCCTAACCCCAACCCTAACCCTAGTAGGGGTAGGAGTTGGGGTAGGAGTAGGGTTAGGGAATTGCCGAAGTCCCGAATCTCGGAAGTGCAGAATTGCAGAAGTCCCGAATTTCGGAAGTACCGAACCAGATTTTTTTGCCCATGCACATCCCTACTATGTGTATTTTCGACTGCTCACCACCCTTTTGCGTGTTATCTTACTGCTGTTTACCACGCTTTGAATTACACCTCAATGCATTACCCCACTGTCTGTTACTTCCTTTGTATTATGTCATGATCGACAGAACACCTAAAAGAACACAGGTTAAAAGCCGCCAAGTTCTTCTGGGTTCATTGATGTGTGTAATAGAAATGTTTATTTGGCATTTGTTTGAAGGAATATTTCTAGATCACATGTTTTCATTAACAGGATTTCATAACCAAATTAGAAATCTGCCAAATGAGAGAAAAGAAAGGGATCCTCTGGACTGTATTGAAGTGGAAGCATACTTGCTCTTTGCAGAAGAATAGGAGGGAAAAGGTTTTTCCCTCCCTCCCTCTCTCTCTCTTTCCCTCCCTCTCTCTCTCTTTCCCTCCCTCCCTCCCTCCCTCCCTCCCTCCCTTCCCCTTCCCTCCCTTCCCTATGGTTATAGATGTTGGTGTTTTTTCTGTGGTGGTGTTTGTTTCTGTTCTCTTTTTGTCACAGCTCTGGCGGAGTTCCTGGCCAGTGCAAGTAATTCACAAGACAAGGATTTGGGGAGTCGCAGCCTGCTAGGGCTGATTGGCAGAAGACAGGCTGTACGGACTCTGGAAATATACGCTTTTATCTGTCTGTTGGGTAGTCACCCCAACAGCCGACAGGTGGTGATAATGCTGGTGGTGTTTAAACTTAAATCAAATAAAGCTGTGGCCGTTGCCCTTATCCAGTACTAAGCAGGCGTCATGTCATTATTGGGGGGTAACGGGAATGTTATCTGGTCAGCAGTCAAGTCTCTGTCGATGGAATGAAGGGCAAGTAACCCACTTGGGTGCCTCGCAGTCACTGCAACATGTACCCTAGATGCTGATAGAACTTCCCTGGCCTATTTCTGTGGTTGATCTGATCAGTTTTCTGATATCTTCCTATTGGCCAATTTTGTCCCTGTTCATCCAGATGTTATATGCTTAATGTAACTAGACCAACATCACCTTGTTGGACCTGTTGAAACGTGATATCCTATGATCTCTGGGGTTCTTTTGAACTTAATGTTGCCTATATGGTCCATCTGTACCATAAAAGGATGTACTTGTGTGAACTTGTACATAGTCCATATTTCAATTGAATTCTCACCAGTACTGTCTGTGCATATGCACTGTTTCTCTTTAATCTCCCACAGTAATGAATGAATCATCCAGATCTTCACTCTGCAAGTCATTTACATTTGATTTGTTTCCTTTAGCTCCAATATGACTACAGGCTATGACCAAGTTTTTATTTTTTTGAGTCAGCTTCACCCTGTATGGATTTTTGCACCTAGCAGTACGGCACTTACTCATTTGTTTAATAAATGCCTTGTCTTGTTAGACGGCACCGCTGCTCTTGCATGGAAACTAAAATGAGATGTTATGAGATGACGATTACATTTTAGGGCTGGCTAGTAGAATATGACCTGCCATTCTGAGCCCTGCAGAATTGCCAACATTTGAAAGAAATGTGAAGAAAAGTGTTTTGTTTCACTTCTCTTTTTACCACCAGTCTTTTAAAATGGAAATGTATGGAAAAAAATGTCAGAATTTACTATGAAGAAATTGTCACTTTTAGAGCATTTCAAAAAGTATCAAGTATCAAAAGTATCAAGATCAAAATAGTCACTAAATTTAGTTATGGAACCTTGGCACCAATAATACTTAATATTAACTGCAATAGAATGATTTAGAAAAAAATAATGACAGAATGTAACTGTAGCCTTTGGATAAATAATCCTCCTACATTGTCTCAAGTATAGAAACATAGAATGTGACGGCAGATAAGAACCTTTGGCCAATCTAGTCTGCCCAATTTTCTAAATACTCTAATTAGTCCCTGGCCTTATCTTATAGTTAGGATAGCCTTATGCCTATCCCACGCATGCTTAAACTCCCTCACTGTGTTAACCTCTACCACTTCAGCTGGAAGGCTATTCCATGCATCCACTACCCTCTCAGTAAAGTAATACTTCCTGATATTATTTTTAAACCTTTGTCTCTCTAATTTAAGACTATGTCCTCTTGTTGTGGTAGTTTTTCTTCTTTTAAATATAGTCTCCTCCTTTACTGTGTTGATTCCCTTTATGTATTTAAATGTTTCTATCATATCCCCCCTGTCTCGTCTTTCCTCCAAGCTATACATGTTAAGATCCTTTAACCTTTCCTGGTAAGTTTTATCCCGCAATCCATGAACCAGTTTAGTAGCCCTTCTCTGAACCCTCTCTAAGGTATTAATATCCTTCTGAAGATACGGTCTCCAGTACTGTGTACAATACTCCAAGTGAGGTCTCACCAGTGTTCTGTACAATGGCATGAGCACTTCCCTCTTTCTACTGCTAATACCTCTCCCTATACAACCAAGCATTCTGCTAGCATTTCCTGCTGCTCTATTACATTGTCTGCCTACCTTTCAGTCATCAGAAATAATCACCCCTAAATCCCTTTCTTCAAATGTTGAGGTTAGGACTCTATCAAATATTCTATGCTCTGCCCTTGGGTTTTTATGTCCAAAATGCATTATCTTGCACTTATCCACATTAAAGTATCGCAGGCCTTCGGTGTTCTACAAGGCAGTTGACACTCTATCCCTTCTATAATGTCAACTTCATCCTTCAAATAATAATCACACGTATAAGGGACACAAAGAAACACATATAGTGCATGATGTTTGGCAGAATATTGAACCAAAACATGAAGTGGAGAGGACGCAAAAAAACCTTTATCAGATGTCACTATACGGGGAAGTTTGCAAGGATACCAAAACTCTGGAGCAAGTAATAAAAAAGCATACCATTATAATCCTGTCTAGTTTCTCCATTATGGAGACTTGACCAGAAATCAGCAAACAGTAGGTAGAAATATTCTCCAATTTAGTTATATTTCCAATGTGACTATTTTGCTAATTTCCTTTCTCGGTTTTCCACATGCTGATGTTCATGAAATAACCCCAGGTGGTTATTATTTAGTAAGATATGCAGGTAACGGTACACCTCCCATATACTGAAGCCATAACTATATTGATGTCTATGAGTAAAGACTAGTGAAGTTCAAAACCTGTTCTCCTCTGCTTGCCTGTTCTGGGTTAGTAACCTCTTTTTCTAGGCTAATGTCGCTGCAAATTGCTTTAATTTAGCATTACTGAAATGGTGCTCTAACAAATGTTTATTCTCCACAATTTCCCATTTTATAAAAAATAAAAAAAAAGAACAAAATACTAATGTAAAATAAATGTTTTATTTAATGTTATATCTCATATTTGGAAACTGAGTAGGCTTATCAGATAATATATTAATATTTCAATAATACATTGGCAAAATACAAAGCAGAAATGAGTAGGGGTTTCCTTCTACCATTCCCAGTAATGGCTGTTCTGCACCTCCAATAATTTAAACTATGAATACAATTATACATTTTTGTCACTGACTATTAATGTTCTTAATGGCTAGTCCAGTTCACTGGGCAAAACATGCAGAGGTTAGGTGAGAGATGCCATTGTTATGTTGCCATGGTTACTTTTGTTCTTCTGTTGATGCTGTTGCCTAGCAGCCTAACATTTCATACACTGGCAGGTATCACTGTGAATATATGTTTGTGACTGTGAGATAATGAGTCCAGACGGTGAAATGGAGGCTGTGATGGAGGCGGAGCAAGAAGCTCTTGTGGAGGCCAGACTAAAGAGGTTTACAGAAGCTCTGCAAAAAAAGATTGCAATGAGAAGGCAGAGAGGAATCGTAACCCCTAGTGAGTCATATCAATTCTTCACTGGACAAATTCCAGAGGAAACAGAAATCAAAGAAATTAAAAAGAGCAAAGACATAAATAACAAAAAAGAAAAGGTTACAGCAAAACCACCAATTGTAACTGAACATTTTGAAGATGAAGAGATGGAGGAAGTGGTAATTTGCCATTTTAATTGCATATTTGGTTGGATTTGGAATGTGAGAAGGAGTAATGAAGGAAACGGTGAAGGAAGCAGAAAAGTAAGAGAAAAGAAAGAAAAAAAGAGAGAGAACAAAATGAAAAGCAAGAGATGAAAGAAATGCAAAAAAAGCAATAAAGAAACAGGAAAGGGGCGGGACTTCCGGTCTCACGGAATAGTCGCATGGAGTGAGAGCTCCGAGACCGGAACGGCCTAAAGTGACAAATTACAGCTTTGGGACCTAAAACTGACCCGAACAGGGGCCCGGACCTGAGGGGATCTCACCCTGCCAGATGGCGCCCCCAAAAGCACAGCGAGCATCGGACTTCTTACACCAAGGTCGGCGAGACAAATCCCGGCCGGAGCAAGATGGCGGCGGCTCACACTCCCCAACATCTGCCTCAGATCCGGGATCGGATACAGAGGCCCTGCAGCCTTTCCCTGGGGATATCTCCATGTTGGAGGAAAAAATGGCGGCAATGCTCCATGAAGGAAGACCTCCAACTGGTGGTAAACGTCATCCGCAGGGAGGTACACAAGGTGGGGGGCCGCCTAAACGTCCTCGAGGAGAAAACAGATGATCAATGCCATGCCAACGACTGCATTTTGGAGAAGACCCGCACATTGGAAGCAGAGCAAGTGTGCCTAACAACCAAACTAGCGGACCCAGAAGACCGATCGTGCCGAAACAACATCCGGGTGCGTGGGGTCCCTGAGTCTATCTTGGGAGTGGACATCCCAGGGTATCTCCAACAGCTCTTCAAAGCTATCCACCCGACACTGGAACTGACAGACTTGTGCTTAGACAGGGCGGACAGAGTACCCCAACCTGCTTCCCTAGCACATGATATACCAAGAGACATTGTCACAGGACTCCATTACTTCAACGCCAAGGAGGCCATACTCACAGCGCAACACCAATCCACGGCGATGCCATCTGGCTATGGCAGGATTTCCCTGTTTGCTGATCTGTCCTCCATGACAATGACATGAAGAAGAGACTTTATCAATGTCACAAAATGCCTCTGCAACCACAAGATTCCCTATGCTGGGGCTTCCCCACAAAACTGCTGATTTGGCGCAACGGATCCCTAACAAAGCTGGATGACCCGGACCTAGGCATGAACAAGCTGAAAGCCTGGGGACTCTTCCCGAACCAAGTGACAAGCAGCACCCCTGCATCCCCGGGACATGTGGTCCAGGAGTGGACCAAGGTCCAAAAGAATAAATGACTGAACTGCCGTGATCCTCCCCACTACAATGGACTGTCCGGTTTGAGATACCAAGCCTCCTGGGGCCCTGTGTGGTGAACTCACCCCCTCCTACCTAAGGGTAAAAGACTCTAGATGGACTTGCCCCCTTTTCGGGGAGAAGCTTAAAAGAGGTTATGCACAATGAACCCCACGTGAGTACGTATGATAAGAGACGACCCACAGGCACCCCTTGGCCGGGACGCCACTGCCCCACATGGTGCACATTACAGCCTTTGCCATAGGCAACCTCCTCCAGCCACTAGGCTGGCCTTAATTCCCGGCTGTCTCGAACAAAAGAAACCCCATGTGACCCGGGGCTTCCTGCTGGAGTGCCTGGCGGCATGGCCCACCTAGCCGCGATACCAGCTATACCCCTGCCAAAAAAGCAGTGGTTTCTACACTCGCTACGGTGGGGTGGGAAGCTCCGCCTGGTGTCCCCGCTGTGCCCCCTATAAGAACCTATACCCACTTTGACCATACAGGCCATCACCGAACTTAGGTTATCCCCCCCACACCCCACTGACACTAAGTCCTGTGGTGTTACCCCCCCAGTGAAGTGGGGAAAGTGCACCTGCTGACCAGTCTCCCATAATGCTGTCAAGCTCATTGACTTGTATATACTTCTGTTATGTTCATTGTTTTCTTCCCCATGTTATGCTCTATCCCTGGTTATTTACCCCACTAGAGATGCTGATCATCCTGGGCCATGGATGTACTGGGAACCTATGGACACCCCCCCCCCACCACCTCCTGAAGCCACTATTACAGAAAGGGAAGGGTGTTGTCGCCTAGGTGATACCTAGGGTCCCCCCAGCCTTAACAGATGACTCCCCCGCATTAATTTAATCTCCTATCCCTAAACACCCGCGGCCTAAACACCCCACAAAAGCACAGGCTCGCCTTCTCCCAGCTCTGCATGCTGCACGCCTCAGTGGCCTGCATATGGGGGGCCAATTTCTCGGTCACTAACCCCCCGAAATTCCTCTCAACCAGATACCCCGCCTCCTACCACGCCCTAGTGCCCAACAAAACCAGGGGAGTCTGTATATTATTCCACTCGGATTGGACCTTTAACTGTTCAACAGAGTATAAATGTGCCGACGGCAGGCTACTGATTCTGGTGGGTAGGCTTAATGATGTCCCCGTAATGATAGCAAACCTATACACCCCCAACACCAACCAATATGACTTCATTAGGAAATCCTTGAAAACGCTAGACAGATTAAGACAGGGCCAAACATATGTATGCAGGGACTTCAACTGCGTACTTGACCCAGACCTTGACAGATCAGGCACCCCAGGCTCCCATCTCTGCTCTGCTTCTATTAGTGACAAGCTCTCTGCCCTCTTACACTCCCATGGCCTTCATGACACGTGGCGCTCCCTATACCCATCCACCAGGGACTATACTTTCTACTCGAAAGTCCACAACCAATATTCCCGCATAGACATGTGCCCTGTGGATGTTAAGACCCTGGACACTCTGGCTAAAGTCACCATTGACCCTATCACCTGGTCAGACCACGCCCCCTTGCTGTCCTCATTCACCATACTACACCCGGTGAGGGGACGGGGCACATGGCGCCTCAATGAGTCGCTTACAGACCGCACAAACAGGTTGTAGAGGTGAGGAAAACCATAGCGAATTACTTCACAGACAACCAGCCCCAAGATACAACCGTGGCCGCGAAGTGGCTGGCCCATAAGGCCGTGGTACGGGAGGTACTGATTAAGGCAGGAGCGACACTAAAACGCAAACTAGCAGAGACTAGCAATGTATTGCTCAGGGACCTGAAGCTAGCTGAGGACCTCCACAAATCCTCACCCACTGACGCGACCAGACGGGAAGTCAATAAGATCAGGGCTGGCTTAGAAACTCACCAACTCCAGCGAGTGGAGAGGGCTCTCCGCAAACTCAAAAATGATTACTATAGACAAGGGAACAGGGCGGGGAGATTGCTAGCCGCCCAACTGAAAGAAGAAAACACTCAGATGCAGATTCCATACTTAGTAGACTGTACTGGGACGAAACTGACAAACATCAAACTGATAGTAGATACATTTTTTAACTTTCTATGGTGCCCTTTACAACTTAGCGGAGGACCCCCTACAACACCAGCCGACCTCTCTGGAGATAGCTGCCTACCTAGATGGAGTGGGGCTCCCCCAGCTCTCCAGGGACCAAGCCTCACTACTCAATAGCCCATTCAACCCCGAGGAAATCTCCAAAGCACTTAGGGATACCCCACGACACAAAGCCCCAGAACCGAACGGTTTCTCCACCCACTACTACAAAGTCTTTGTGGACCAGCTCCTCCCAAACATGACCTCCCTGTTTAACAACATCATGGAGTCAGGCTCCACACCCCTGAAATGCTGGAAACCACTATAATTACTATTCCTATTTTGCTACTAAACACAGACACAAAGCTATTTGCCAAGGTCCTAGCCAACAGGATACGCCCCCGCATGTTGATTTGATTTGATTTGTTCCTGCTACGCTCTCTGGATTTAGGAGAGGTTCACCCACTGGGAGCTGTATCCTGGTCGTGGATCCAGGGTGGGTGAAGAAGGCGAGACCCCGGCGCAGCTGTATCGCTGGAAGTGGGGTCTGCAGTGCTGATGGTGTGCTTGGAGTCCTCAGCGAGCACTAGGCGCATCGATTGGCGGAGGTACTCAGTCGGAGTGCCAGCGTTCCGTCACAGAGCTCATGACAGTACACAAGATGCAGGGACTGTTAATGGCTCTTGACGCGGAAAAGGCTTTTGACCGGCTACACTGGGGCTACATGACGGAAGTCCTCCGCAGATTTAAATTCCCCGACAAATTTCTCAGTGGCCTGCTATCACTATATTCCTCCTCGGCAGCCACGTTCATGAGCTCCAGTTTCACCTCCCGATGTTTTACTCTGAAGAATGGCACACGACAGGGATGCCCACTATCGCCCATTATTTTTTTCCTAGCACTAGAACCGCTACTACACAGAATTAAACAAAAACAGTGCATCACAGACGTCCCTTTGCCACTGGGACCCTAAAAAATTGCAGCCTTTGCTGACGAAATCCTCCTATTCTTGACTAACTCAACAGACTCCTTAAAGCACCTCCTAAGTCTACTACAAAACTATGGACAAGTGTCCTACTATAAAAACAATGGGGCAAAAACCCAGGTGCTGCCTCTGGACATGACCCACTCTGAAGCCAACACCCCTTTGAGTGGAGGAAAGATACTCTCTCCTACTTAGGCACACGCTTAGCACCCTCGCGATCCCTCCTACTCCGAAACAACCACGACACCTTACTGACTAAGACAGAGGCGCTGCTGGAGGGCTAGGGGGCCAAAAACTCTTCTTGGCTGGGACGGATAAATTACATAAAAATGATCATACTCCCACAAATACTATTCCTCTTCAGGGCCCTCCCTATTGAGCTTCCAAAGTCGCTACTGCAATGATTCCAGCGCCTCCTAAACGTGCATATATGGAAGAAGAAGCCACCAAGGGTTTCTACAGCAAGCATAACCCTGGGGAGTGTGTGTTCCCAACATCACCAAATACTATTTAGCCACAAATCTATCCCAAACAGCACGGTTGTTGCGGACCCCAAGACGCCTCCTGTGGTACCATCTAGAAACCGCAATCATTGCGCCACACAGCCTACTGGACCTACTATGGGTCCCACCCAAGTCACAGCCCCACAACTTTGACCTGCTAATGACCACCAACACATCTCTCCGCACTTGGCACAAGTGGGCCCCAAAAAACTGTTAGCCTAACTTCTGATGACGTATGCCCCCATGACTAGCCTACAGTACCTCATGCACGACCTGGCTCTAGACAACTGGACAGAGAGTGGGATAGTGAGGGTATCCCATCTCATGGAGGTTAAGGAGATTAGGCAGTTCCCAGAACTTCAGCAAACTTTCCTCCTCCCTGGCAGGGAACTCTTTACATACCTACGTATTATGCACATACTACAGGGAGTTGTTCAAGCGGCGCCTGATACCCGAGGGCCAGATGTGTTTGACTCACTGTGTCACAACCACAAAACACAAGCAAAACCGCTTTCCCTATGCTACCGCAAACTCCTAGAGGTGGACAAACCAGATAGGTTAAGTGACATGGTGCACTGGGAAACTGAACTCAACTGCACACTGGGTGAGGGCAGATGGTTAGCAGCAATGGCACTCGTAAAAAGAGCCACGCACTGCCTAGATCATGTAGAAGCAGCTTATAAACTCTGGATGAGGTGGTACCTCACCCCCCAGAGACTGGCCCTCATATACTCAGGCCCATTATCTCTATGTATTACCCACTGCCCATTATCTCTATGTATTACCCACTGTCCATTATCTCTATGTATTACCCACTGTCCATTATCTCTATGTATTACCCACTGTCCATTATCTCTATGTATTACCCACTGCCCATTATCTCTCTGTGTATTACCCACTGCCCATTATCTCTGTGTATTACCCACTGCCCATTATTTCTATGTATTACCCACTGCCCATTATCTATCTCTGTGTATTACCCACTGCCCATTATCTCTCTATGTATTACCCACTGCCCATTATCTCTCTATGTATTACCCACTGCCCATTATCTCTCTATGTATTACCCACTGCCCATTATCTCTATGTATTACCCACCTCCCATTGTCTCTCTATGTATTACCCACTGCCCATTATCTCTATGTATTACCCACTGCCCATTATCTCTATGTATTACCCACTGCCCAT